TCGCCATTTTGGAAACCTATCCTAGACAACATATGTGCTGTGGAGGGGTTTTTGGAAGACCAGGACGCCACCTTCTTCCCTGATGGGATTGCAATGCTTAAGCATTTTGGACCAAGTTCATTGATATCAAGTGGGGAGGACTATATTGAAAAATAGTGGAAAACTGTCTTGTTTCTCCAACTCCTTATGGAGTGAGGCTTAGAACATTTTGCCCAACCCTCGTATATTCGACGAGCGACAGAATAACATTATTTACATGCGGGCTATTGTCCTCATCTTTACTCTAGCTGTTTCGGTAGTTGTATCTTCATCAAGTGTATGTCGTGCGAGCAACCTACCAAATTGAACATTTAATCTAAAAACCCCTACAGAAGGTAGTAAAGGAAAGCGAGAAGAAAGGACTAAGCATCAGTTATACAAAGACTGAATGGTTTTCAGCAAACACAAGAGCCCGACAAGCGAATTACTAATCGGATATACCAAAATAAAAGTAAAAAATTAAAAAATATCCAGGAAATGTTTTACCACAGGACGGAAAAGGCGACAGAAAAACACAAAAGCGCATTGGAATAGTGAAAGATGCGTTCCACAAGCTAAGCAAGTATTAAGAAAAAAACTACTGAACTGTTATGAAATACCGGTTTTCCGAAATGACAGTGAATGCTGGACAATCTCCTCACAGATGAAGAGATTTGAGGATGTAGAAATGTGGTTCTATAGAAGGATACCGAGAATACCATTGACTGAACATAGCAAAAAAGGTAGTTTTCAGGAAAAGGAAAGCAAAAAGACTTTGCAGAAAAAGAAAGTGTAAATGTCTGTGCGCATAATGAGGAAAGATGTCTTGGAGAATTTGATACTCACACGACAAGAAAGCGAGAGGGACAGAGGAAAACAGAATGACCTAAGTAATGAGCTTGAGTAAATGGTTGGTAGAACAGAAATCATGAGAAATAGCGAAAAGACAACGTTTAGTTACAGCTACAAAGAAAAGGAAATCTTGGAGGACCATGATCTTCCATGTCTTGAAAAAACAGGGCACATAGAAGTATTATTCATAAAATCAAAAAAGTTTAAATCTCGGGAAAATCAAGAAGGAAAGAGGGTCTGGATATTTTTATACCGATGGATTGAGTAGCAATGTCAAGTAGCGAATAAACTACGTGATGGATTCGTGCAAAAGGATTAGCAGGGATTGGACAAAGAAGGATCGTAAGACCTTAGAAGCTACAAGAAAAATACGAGGGCAAATACCAATTTTATCATAGCCAACTTAGGTATTTGTTTTTTTTTAAGTTTTTTTTAATGCTCCGTTTCCGCGTTAGATTTTCAATAAACCTAACAATAGAAAGTTTTTTTTTTAGTTGGCAGTACCATTTTTCATTCCTGTCGTAGGTACCTGTTATTGGCGTTAAAAACAAAAGAAAAAAAACTCATTTGTCCTGTTGATAGCAAACCAACAAAAAACGAGAATACGTGGCTGGCAGTTTTTAATTATGAAGCTGATCACGTGTTATTTCATGATTAGCAGTCAATGTATCACGATATCGGTTTTACAATATGGATGTGCGTTAGTGGTGCACTGGACATCGTCTAAGAGTGAGGACAGAGTTTTAATTCCAGTAGAGTTCGTCAGATTCACTTACAAATACCCTTGGTTGGCAACGAGAAAGAAAGGCGGGGAAATATCTGCCTCGTCAGTCATGTATCGAAGGGTATACGATTGCCCAATCGTGTATCACGTATGGTACATAACTGACTGAGATGAAAAATAAGAGTCAAAATTCAAGAAATTCGAAACTTATTTGAAATAGTCGATAGTAAGCATTACCATGATTTTTTACTGTTGAAATCAGTTCATTAATAAGACCATGAGCAATTTTAAATATCGATTTAAAAATAATTATAACTGCATAAAAATACTTATTGTGTTCATTACCATACAAAGTTGCCATAAACTACAAAGTTATAGAAATATTTTAAAATCGATTAATACATAGCGTAAGGTCTAACCCCGACATCGTCTGTACTTACATTCAGATTGGTAATTTATATAAGCCATTTACCATTATAATAGAGAATGCACTTCGATTATATCCAAAAACGAATAGAAATTATTCACTTTATTGCTATTTTAAATAAGCCAGGGAAAGTTTGTGCAAGCGGATCAATCCCAGACAAATGTAATTGTTCACGATTTTCACTGTCTCGTTAGAAATGTAAAAGTCAATCAAGGTCAAATCCCAGCGGGGTCGACGGACAATATCTAACCTATTTCTCATTTTCAGCTCCTAAAATGAAGAATTCATCGAATTGGAATAATAGCATGGTCCTAAAAACGTAGTCACATTTGAAGATTACAGTGAGTTTCCAACATGTCTAATATTCTTCGAAAATTATTTATAGGTTTTAAAACTTTCGTTCCTTGAGAAATAAAGCATATTTACAAGGAATGCTTAAAGCATTATTAGCAGCCGACAATCTTAACATGGCAGACGCTGATTCACAGATTAAGGATGAAAACAGTCAATGTTAAAGTGCAAAGACTAACTAGAAAGAACTAGATACATGGCTGTAGAGAAAAAAAAAATCTATGAGCTATCAAATGGGGACGTCAGGTACAGACATTTAACTATCGATATATTCTTGTGGCAGAATAATCGAGACAGAAATCCCAAAGCGCTTAATAGCGAAAGATGTCTGGCAGAATCTAAGACCTTTAAGAAGAGATAGGAAAATGTATGTTGAAAGAAAATTGTGGAAACGGTTTAATATCCGATGTCCTTATATGAAAGTAAATGTTGGAAAATCTTTTCACAGATGAAAAGAGGAAGATGGTTCTATCGACGAATGTAGGAGATACTATGGCTAGAACGATAGTGGGAATGTAAGAAACATTAATATGTGAGGGTCTCTCCTCTGTTCAGAATCTAGGGAAGTTATATATATATATATATATATATATATATATATATATATATTTTGAAACTGCATATCAACAATTTCTGGGTCGTTTAATATCGAAATTTAGTTTTCTGGGGTAGTTTTTTTTTTTTTTTACTACAATGAAAATGTATCACTGGTAAATTTAATATTAAAATATAATTTTATATTTACATGTTTTGATCCCAGTACTTACTAGCGATATATTTTTATCGTAAAAAAAAAAAAAAAAAAAAAAAATACCTAAAGCTTCCAAGAAAATTAAATGTCGACATTAAATGACCCATAAGGTGTTGATATGCTGTTAAACAAACGTAATAACCTGATAGGATACTATTTTCTAAGAGTTGGGATCCTACCAGGCGCTACCACCCCCGAGTCAGTGTGGACCTGGGAACAACAGCAATTAAGAATTGTTTCCACATTTCTCAAAACCTCCTGATCAAGGGGTGTTACTGCCGGATGTAGTTTATCGTCATACCCAGGACGATCGGGCGGGAAGTTACTCTTCTCCACTATATTTGACTTCACTCTTTAACCAGCTATTTGACTTCTAAGCATATATTCATAATGAAGTATATTTTACGTACATTGTCTCTTCAGGATGTGAGCAATCCGGACTCCACAACTTCCTCTCTCATCCTTCTGAGCTAGAACTTTTTTCTTATAAAATCCTAGTTCTTATTCTTCCAATCCTTTTCACAAGCTCATTAAAAAGGGTACTTGCCGATTCCTTTGTCCATCCTGCCTTCCATATGTCCTGTGAATGAGGAGCCTTTCCTCATTAAGTGCCCTACAGATTTTACAGAAGCCTTCTTTCCTCATTAAGTGCCCTACAGATTTTACAGAAGCCTTCTTTCCTCATTAAGTGTCCTACAGATTTTACAGAAGCCTTCTTTCCTCATTAAGTGCCCTACAGATTTTACAGAAGCCGTCTTTCCTCATTAAGTGTCCTACAGATTTGTGTTGTCTAGGTATTAAATATTACTATTTGTTTACATGTTCCTTAAAATGTCATTGACCACATATTCAAAGCCATGGTATTCTCAGAATTTTGCCCGATATTTCTCCTTCCTCTGGGAATAGATTTATTTTTATTAATAATAATAATAATAATAAAAAACCCAGTACTTTGTTTCTAACGAACTTTTCCAGCTTAATAGTTTGCTTAGATTTTAGAAGGCATCTTCGCTATCCCAAGTCGCCTTCGGATTTCCGTATCGTAGTTTCTGTCCTCTTATACAAGTGACAGTCTTTCATTGTGAATTATACATCTGAAAATCCAGTAAAAATGATAGGCTGAAACGATGCGTTAACAGAAAGGATTTCATTTTTCCAAAAAGAATTTGGGGAAAAAATATACTCACTAAATTGCAGTTTAATTGCACCTTTCTGCTAATTCACACCAAAATATTAATTCACCCCCAATAAAAAGAATTTATATTTTGTAAAATTGACGCGAAATTTCCCCAGAACGAAGCCCTTCCATTACACTTCGGTTGGGTTGACTTTTGCGATCGCTCCAAATGTGGGCGACTCGCATACGTTATTTCTAAGTATGTGTTGTATGTTTACGCTCAGCTCAATAAAAAAGCCAACAGCAGTTTTTTTTTTGTTTAATTGTAAAAAAAAAAAAAAAAAAAATCCTTCTAAGCACCTCGAATAACTTCCGCACTTACGAAATAATTCACCGATTTTTAGAAATTTTTCATTCTGAGAGTTGATGCGAGGCAAGCTGAACAAATTTTGTTTTAAAATTTTATAATTTCAAGCGAGTGCTTAAAATTTCATTAAAAAGACGAAACAAAAAAAAAAAAAAAAAAAAAAAAGACGAGACAAAACCAAACAAACTGATTTAAAATTTATAATTTCTTGGTATGAATTAATATTTGCGATAAGTAGCTTTACATTATTTGAGGTGAATTAACAGAAAAGATCTAATTTACTAAAAATTAACATTAATATTTAAAAAAAATATTTTTATTGAAATGTGATGCTTAATTATTTCCGAAATGTTTTAAAGATTAAAAAAAGTCAGAATGTCAATGAGTACTCACCTTTTTCATAATACAAACATCTTCCTCATTTTTCATTTGTTCGGAACTAATACCAATGAAGAATTTCACAGAGACCTCGGCATGGTTCTTTTTCGTTTTATTACCGTTTAAACAATTCAATGTTACGACGGCCGGAAAGTCAGAAAGAACCCAAATTTGACCAATATGTTTAGAAGTTTCCGTGTTCGTTGGACAAGTTGTGACAATATTAAGCAAAAGGTCATCATTCTGAAGTTGGCAAATGACCATCAGTGGGAAGAAAAGACAAAGTTGAACTAGAAAGAAATAAAAAAAGAATTTCATAAAGATTCCGCTCAAAAAATAACTTTTGCTATCATGTTAACGAGCTTTTTCCATCAAAAGGGATTCAAAATGGATACTGACTATATATATATATTTTGAACATTTCATTTTAAAACAAATTAATAATTCGTTAGTATTTCTTTTAAAGAATTTCTACTGACTTAAGAGCTTCCTGCGCTAAATCCGGGTGAGTTAAACGATGTTCGGACAGTGAAAGAGTAAATTAAAATCATTTTAAAGATTAAGCTGACATCACTGTGAAATATCGATTCTCGTAGGATCACCGAAGTTAAGCAACGTCGAACCTGGTCAGTAACTAGATTGGTGACCGCTTGGGAATACAAGGTGTTGTATACTTGGATGTGGATGTGTAGTGGGTGCAATGGATAATTTCACGGAATTGGAAAAGCCTGTTTCTAATACCCGTTTGTTTTCATTACATTCACTTACACAAAAATACCCTTGGGAAAGATATAAGCCCAACTCTTCCACGACGATTTATGGTTCACTATTAAAACTTATCACTAAAACATTAAAGTCTCAATTTTTTTTAAATAAAAAAGAAATAAAAATAAACAATATGAAAAATGTTTTTTGGTTTAAATGACACTTGACCAGTCCCCCTGACCGACTGTGATCCTTAAAGAGATGGACACTTGACCAGTGCCCCTGACCGACTGTGATCCTTAGAGAGATGGACATTTGACCAGTTCATTCTCATTTATATTGGTTGAAAGAGTGTTTTAATCAGTTCACTGCAAGCAAGGCGCTAATGGCTGTAAGAGGCACGGGTGTCTACTGGGGGTGAAAAACGATGGAAAAAAAACAAAATAAAAACAAAAAAACAAAAAACACTTTAGAAAGTTATGAAATATTATCTATTATCAGCAATACATTTTTATAGCAAAAATAAATACATATTACCAGCAATACATTTTTGGAAAGGATGAAATGCGCTCAAGAAAATTAAATTTCGACATTAAATAATCCATAAGGTGTTGATATGTTAAACAACCAAAAATCTTGAACCTGGCTGCAATTCTACCGAAGGTCAGTGATATACTCGTTGACATTAGACTGACCCGTAGTCGTAGCTGTTTAGTTAAAAGTCATCTCTGGATCAACCTAAGGAATGGGTTATGATTCATAATTTGGCCTCACACGCCATCTGTGTAGTCACCATCGGCAGATGATGAAGGGAAGGATGAAGTTTATTAGAATTAGTACAAAAATGAATAAAGGACGTCAACTTCGAAGATTAATATTAATAGTATTAGACAATTTTTTTAAATGACACATTGTTAGTTACGATTAATAAAAATAACTGCGCAGTACTAAATAAGAACTAGACAAGATATTGGTAGGCGTCGGCAGGCGGTTAGGTAGATTTTGCAAGCATGGTAATGCACTCAGAATTTAAAGTTTTACATGATAAATAATGACACAATAATTTATTTCAAATCATTGCCATTTTTAAGAAAATTATTTTCAAGATTTAGTTTAGGTTCAAGATTCGAACATTGCAATTTTATTCCAATGTTCAGTGAAAACCTTACAGCACAGCCTTATAAAATCTAAAAGTAAATGTTTTACAAATTGTATAAATGGACAAGCTGCATGGCACAAGCACATTATTACTAAATCATTGTGCCATCAAATAAGACCTTCATTTAATTCAAAAGAAAATTATACTGAACAATTTAGCTATATTATGATGTAATATGTTGTACAGTGCAGGAGTTTTGGTGCGATTTTCAATAAACAATGCAAATTTAAAACATTTTTCTTATAATTTGTGCCCAGCAGTATTATGATGTTAAATACTGCTGTTTTTTGATTTTACTAATTATGATCTAACAAATGATTTAACAAATTCTATTTATTAAGTAGTTTTTTGCAATTTTTTACGGTTTTTACTTAGCGAATAGTGATTTTCTAAGCCCGGCTTAGATGTGGCACAAGGCCGAAAGTATGGGGCTCCCAGCGAGGATCGAACTCACTACTCAGTCATAACTGATCTAGCAAGACAAGCTTGCTAAACATTACACCACGTCGAGGTGCCCTAGTGATTTTCCAAGCGAAACTTAGATGTGTCACAAGGCCGGAAGTATGGGGCACCCAGTGATTATCGAACTCACTACTCAGTCGTAATTATTTTAACGAGACAAGGTTGCTAACCATTACACCACGCCGAGGTGCCCTACTTAGCGAATATAGTAAATATAATAAAAAAAAAAAAAAAAAAAAAAAAAAAAAATGCATATTTTATGAGGACCCATAAGATATAGACTTGCAAAAGATATAGACTTTATTTGGATTTATTCTTGAAATAGTAAAATTCTGATGTCAGTAAGCAAAAACTTGCGGGAAGTATGTATTTCTGTACATTTTTCAGACGATATTCAAAGATCAGGGAAATCTATGAATTTTTTGGTGTCAGTAGTTTCTCATCAGACTATGTTGATTTCCTGGAAAAATCCGAAAAAAAAAAAAAAAAAAAAAAAAAAAAAAAAATATATATATATAATAATAAATAAATAAAATCAACCTGATCTAATTGGGAGTGAGCCGTGAGAACAATCTACACTCGTAGATTAAAATAAAAGGTTTTGTTCGAAATTCCCTGAAGTTTACTTGGATCGACATACCATTGACAAAACCCGAAGGACACAATGACCGAAATGTAATAAAGTGTAGGACAATATTCTGCGCATAAAGAATTAGTTTTAGTCTAGTGTATTGCTATAAGTGTGTATTTCATTAGTTTTCAGTTTAAGCGTTCAGTTTAACTTAAAGCATACAGTGATTAAACCGTGGTTTGCTACTATCCGCTGATTTTTTAATGGTCCGCGGATAAAGAGGGAATATTGTAATGAGTAAATCTTAACTGATAAAAAGAATATTATTATTTCTTTTTAAATACCCTACCTATTGTCCTAAATGGGTAGGACCGCCAGATTTCTTTATATGGAAATTTCCATAACCGTGAAAAATCTCGCAGAGTTCTGTCCTGTTGACATCATTGCGTATTTAAATCTAGACCAGGTCTTTCTAGACGAGCTAAATTTTCAGGGGCATAGTTTAACACGCTACTTATTGCTTCTTCTGTGTGCCGTGTGCTTTCAGGGCGTTGGCAATCATACCTCTCCACAATGTCCTATCCGTTGAAGCCCTTAATATCTTTGTCTTTTTGTCATTTCTCCTGTACCGACATCCATTCACTCAAGGTCGCCAGATGATATTAGTTGTGTTTCTATCGCTTTTTGCCTTCAATCTGCCCTGTGGATATCACATTTTCCAAGATACTATTGTGTCCCAGAAACCTCATCTGCCTCTATCGGTCAAAAGACTGTTGCTAGCTGGGATAAAGACTTACGTGTCCTTTTTGCTTTTCATCGTCTAGGTAACTTCGTTGTCTGATCCATGGTATTCTCAGCATCCTACTGTAGAATATTTCATCTCATCTTCATTTGTGGGTAGATTGTGCAGCATTCTTTGCCATATAGGAAGACTGATACGACAGAACTATATTTTTAGGTTTAATATTTTGCTTAGTTTTTGGAAGGCACATTCGCTATCTCACTCCGCCTTCGTTCATACACTTCCCAGATATCTAAGTTATTGCACCAGTTTGATTTTGTTATCTCCAATTGGTAATTTGCATGTAGGGTTGTACCTTTTTCTAACAACCATGCATTCTATCTTCTTACAATTGATGTTTAGTCAATTCATCTCATTTTCTTTCATTGTCTTCTGTAAGAGTACTTGAAGTTTCTTTTCCGAGTCTGCTCTCACTGTTGTGTTTTATGTTACTACAACACCGAAACTTAATCGTTTTACTTCCCATTGTTTGGTCCTTTTGTAATTTAGGTACCTTTTAGATTGGTCACCGTTATGACCACTTCCGCTTGGAATTTCGTATAACACCGGAACTAGTCATAATAAAAGCATGACCCCAAGTGGTCGCCATTTTTGAGGGGTGGACGTGTCTTACTAACATCTGTTTGTTTTTCTTTTAAACTTTTTTTGAGTTTACGGGGTTCATTCCCACTCCCACATTTCATTTTTCATGAATATTTTTTTTTTTATATATGTTTCTATTTAAACGTTTTGAGATTTTTATATCCAGGGGTGTTTTTGTAGGTTCCCCCTGTGGATATGTGGTATATGTAGGAGTGAATGGTGATGGAATAGTTCTTTTGGTAGGTCATGATCGTCATGAACGTATAGTCGTTCACTTCTGAACCGACTGTTCGGTTGAACTACCTTCGGGCGGGGAGGAACCCGAACGAGGCTACGCCGAGGGGCGGAGTCTCGTTTGGGGAGGTAAATCGGCCCTGAGCCCGTTTATACGGGATCAATGGGCATATTTTTGGGCCGAGCCCACAATAAATAACCGACCTTGTGTCACATGCTACCCCAGTGGTGGGGGTGACTGAATATCGTCATGATTGTGATTAACTAGGGCTAGGATAATTAGCGAAGACCAGCCATTTCCACCACTTTCCCTTCGGCTGTGTGCCAAAATTATTGTATTTTAATCTCACCCTAATATTAACCCTCACCGGTTTGTAACTTAATACCTAACGCTATAGATTTATCTTTTGTTTCTATGTTATTATTTGAATATTTGTTTAAAGTAGCCATATTTTATAGGGTTGTACCTGCGTAGAATTCTTTCAACATGTGTCCACTTTTGCAAAATGTTACCTCATAACTTCCTTTTTCTGCGAACTCCTTGCAACATTGGAATGTATTTCTGTAAGAAACTTTATACTTGTTCATGTAAACAAAGTATTCGCTACATTTCTTTAGACATTTAAACAAATGATTTTAGTTTTATGTTCTATTCTCCAGTTGCTTTTGTCATATTTATTGCTGCCCTTGTTTGTTTATAGTTTCAGACTAATTAGTCTTGTTTATATATTTATTTCTTATTCTAGTTTTTCCGTTTGGTTATTAATAAATCAGCCGATAAACGGGACTTCGTCTTTAGACGTTTATTTGGCTGTTTTCGAGATTACGCACTCGTATGACGCGGAGGAGGCGTACTCCCGGGGCAGAGATGTAATGACTTGTGGTAGGACTTCTAATTCTTTCAGAACGGCCTATATAGTTTGAAAAGGTCTGGTGAGAAGTCGTATCATTATATATATATATAAAATATTCAAATCAACCTCCTAATATATTGACATGTATGTGTTTAAATATATTAGGAGGGTGATATTAATATCTATTGACAAAAGGAATTACATATAATTCTAACAATATAAACATATTTAATGAAAATTGTATATATATGTATGCATGAATCAGAATTAAGAAAAGTGGTTATTTAACTAATATTAGAATACATAACTAAAAAGCAATATGCCCAAAAACAAAAAAAAAGGATCTGGTTTAACCCTCCTTATAATAATATAACAAAAATAGGAAAAATATTATTTAAATTAATTGACAAACACTTCCCTAAAAATAGTGATCTATCCAAAATCATTAGCAAAAATACTATAAAATTCAGTTATAGTTGTAAGAATATGGAAAAAAATAACATAATAAAAATATTAAAGACAATAGCAATTATAACAGCCGCAGAATAGCAATAATTGTAATTGTCGAAATAAAAGTAAATCCACTTAATAATAAATGTTTAACTAATAATAATATATTATATTATTATATAAATGTTTAACTAATAATAATATAAAGCAACAGTATCAAATAATACTAACACAGAAGAAAAAAAAATACATAGGAGCAATTGAAAACCACTTAAAAAAAAAAAAAAAAAAAAGATTTAATAATCAGGTTATTTAGAATAGATAAATACGCAAATAGCACAACATTATCAAAATGTATATGAAGTCAAAAAGAAAATATATCTACCATAGTTAAATGGGAAAGTATGAAAAGTATCCCCATATAATATTACAAATAAGAATTGTTGATTGTGTTTAGAAGAAAAATTACCAATATTAATTTTTAATAATCAAATTAAATTATTAAAACAGAAGAATGAAATAATGGCTCAATGCCGACATAAACAAATATTTACGTTGTTACATTAATAATAATATAAATCAATTACAATATTAAAAATAGCACAAATTATTGCAATAATACAAATTAAGAACTTCTATATTAACCATGTAAAGAATAATTTCGAAGAAAAAATATGTACAAATAAAAAATATGAAGGCGTAAACGAAAGCAAAATTTAATGAACTCGTACGTGCAAAAGAACGTTAAATTCATAAATACGCACGTGTACAGAACAGAACCACCTGAAGACCAAAAATGTTACCAAGAAACTTCGAAGTCGTGCAAAAAAGCAAAAAAGTTATTTATAGTTAAGTAATATTTTGATATATTATTAACGCGTTATTTTTAATATTATTTTAACATTGAGCTCATATATATATATATATATATATATATATATATATATATATGACGGACTATCTAGTTCGATATATGAGGTTCCGACGATCACGTACTAATTACCTGCATCCCTATGACGAGCAAGACTTACGAGACCGGCTCGAGAATTGCCCAAGAGACCACAAACAGTACAGGAGAATGTATTGTATCCAAGTGCAGCAGGAACACTGTTAGATGTCTTATTTTGCTTTCTTGTTTCATGTAGTCGACTGATGCTTACTTCTCAGTGCAGATATATCAATGTTGTACTTCTTTAGCTCCAATGCGACATGAGCTGTTTTTCTTTCTGGTTCTGGAGAGTTCTTACATTCCAAGTACCAAGATGAAGTTGATACTGTTGATGAGAGTGAAAGGAGGCTCTCTAAGCTTTGGTTATCAATACTTTTAGTGTTGGTTTCACGATTAAAAAAAAAAGGGGGACTTTAGATGGGAAAGAAAAATCATGACAGCTTAACCCGGTCATTATATTGCATGGGTCTGCCGAGAGACCTCTATTGGCTGATACTGACAGTTATCGGGAGAGGTTAAATTCCGCGGTAATAACACATGATGAATGTCGTTCGGAGTTTCAGTGGCAAGTCTTTTGCACCGTTACTTTTTTATCAACAGATCAAAAAAGTGTGGAAGGTCTGACACAAGCCTTCACTACTTGAAATTTTATATATATATATATATATATATATATATATATATATATATATATATATCATTACTGACCTCATTTCCTATCTGTGTGTGGGGAATCGCTATCTCTAAGTTCCGGATTATTTTGAAAGCAGTTCCAGCAGTTCTTTATGATGTACTTTATCAAAATGTCCTTTGCATAGGCATTATCACATCGTAGATGTGGCCGGAAATTGAACTGCATACTGTTACCATTTTTCAAGCTGAAAATCACCACCCATTTCTAGTATTTATGATTGGTTACTACCACAATTATTTTTTAACAGTTTTCTTCGGATATTAAGCGGCAAAAACACTTCGTTAATAGCAATAACTGATAAAAAGTCAAAGGTTAACGGTTAAAAATCAGGAGGGTGCCTTCACACGAAAGGCTAGGCTAAGATTTAAGTCTATGTACATTTTTGATAGCTCTATTAATAGCTAGTTGTTGAACTTTGAGCATAGTTAAGAAAGTCATAAATTGATTTTCTTACCTGATGTGTGTGGATTGAAATCTTTAGGCCTGATCCAACTCTAAAATTGACAACTTGGCGAAAAAGCATTTTTTTTTTTTTTTTAAACTGACTGTGCCAATAACTGATTAACAATGTCGGAAATAAAATCTTTGAGACATTTTAAAGTCCGGAGAGATTTCTATTATATTGTCTTTGTTCGTGATCGTCTAGCAAGCAATGCATCCGAATTTGGTCCGAATATTTGAAAGATTAGTTATGTGACCAACAATAGCAAACCGCATTCTTTTCAGTGTTTTCATTACGTGTGGATACAGTGGGTAGATAAAAGAAACAAAATAACTTTACTATTTCTAACTTTCTTAAACGACAAATTAAGAAATAAGTGGTTATTGTTAAATCAAAATAGCCTTTGCTCAAAGAGCTACATAGATTTTTCGAATAAATAAATTTGGATAGAGTCATATGACACAGATAAGATTTTTTTTTTTTTGTGCGTATTATGTTGGTAATGTTCCAAGGACCATTTTGGTTAAAAGAGCTTCTTATCCGATTTGAACAATTTGTTTTCATTAAAGTAATTTCTAGTTGGATAAAAATACATCGGTTGAATATAACGAACAGAAACTAAAAGCGAATATATATATATATATATATATATATATAAAGAATGTGGAAAGAAAAACATTACAATGAAAAAAAAAATGGTAAAACAAAAGAAACTAAGTGATTTCTTAAGAATGTAAAGAAAAAAAAAAACGGTAATGAATACCAAAAAGAAAGAAAAATAATTTTCTATGAGGGAAAGAAAAAATAAAATTGGTCGATGACAATCCTTACAATAATGATGGTTATAAATGTAATACATTAATAGTAGAATACGGTTTATGCTTGTCAAAGGAGGCTTTCCAATTGACTTGCATTAGGTCACATGAAATTCGTATTTGAAAGAGAAAAAAAAAAAAACTAGGTTAAAAAAGAAAAAAAAAGAAAAAAAAAAGATAGAAAATAAAAGTTAAAGAATCATTGAGAAGGCGAAAAAGAAAAGAATCAAGATTAAAAAAGAAAGCGGGAAAGATAAGAACAAACGAGGAATAAAAAGATTCAAAAGAAAAAAAAAGAAAACCGTCATGTCAGTTTCATCTTGTCGCTTTTCAAGTCGACTTTACGTCTGCCACAGAATTAGGAAATTTTAATCATTTTCTGCTGTGGAGACATTAATGCGTTTACGAAGAGAACCAATATTTTAAAGAATTCGAAGAATAAAGAACAAAACCAAAGTGCACATTAAAATTTCCCAAGAAAGACAAAGAAAAATTGAAGACGCATATGCAATAAAACTTTCGATAAAGCATGAAGCTGGATAATTCAAGTTTACAGTCAACGAAAGAAAACGTTCAAAAGTCACCACTGACGAATTTAGAAGAAAAAAAAAATCAATTGTGAGAAAACAAAGAATATTTTACAGTAATAATTAAAATGAAACCCTCTCACGAAAGCCATAACCCTTTAGAATTGTGGGGGAAAGCAGAGATGTTTCCCGGGAAAAATAGTCTAACAGATCCACATACTATTCAAAAAGATTATGAATTCACCTAGAAATGGTGCCACTCAAGGCTGCAGGATCCATTCTTTCCTGTTATTTTACTCAAGGCTATAGAGCACAAGTTGTCCTGCTATTTAAGAGATGGGTTCATACATTTCCCAAGGGTATTAGCACATAAGTGAATATAATGAACATGACTAGAATTACGACTCGGCTCTCCGATTTGCAATCCGCGTAGCTATCCATTACTTCAGCCCCCCCTCCCCCTCCCCCCCTCCCCCACTCCCCCTTAAAATGAACAAGCTTGAAAATTAAAATATAAATATTTGTATATCTTTGTTCGGCTTAAACTGAGATCAATTCCAGATGATTTCTCGCTAATGCCTTCGGGAAAAGCACCAATCTAATTCCCTGCTAGAGTTAATTGCAGTGTAGACTGAGATATCTATCCCAAGAAGAAGAAAAAATTCTAAGTATAAGAAACCTTAAAACAATCGTAGAGAAATCAAGAGGAAACTTCTAATTTCTTCTCAGTAAATCATTTTCGTTTTTTTTTTTTTTACAATATATCGACTCATTGGGTCACTTGATGCCGAAATTTAATCTTTTGCGTATTAAAGCCCTATATCTAAATCATCAAACTCTTTATTTTTGATGAAAAGAAAAAAAGTTTAATTTCTCTAAGAAACTGGAAAATATAAAGTGAATCATTATTTTGAAAAAAAAAAGTGGTTTCAATAAGTCATGGAAATTAAGATATCTAAAGAACGATCATCGCCTAGATTTACTTTCCCCTTTCTGGAAAAAAAAAACGAAATTATCCCTGCTGTGATCAATCTAGAAGAGGAGAGTGTATGAATACAAAAAGTAATCATCACCCTTTGGTGGAGATGAAGTGATATGGGTCACGTGTCGACCACTTAATGACAAAAGTGACAATAACTGTCGATTTCTCGGAGAAAAATCAAGCCGTCGTTTGTTTGGCCTGGGATGAGACTAAATCTACCTCCTCCAGCAAAAGCTACAGCTTACAAGAGCATGGCGCCATTTCTTTTGGAAGAATATATCTACCCAGGATATAGAAATAAATTGTCTCCGGTTAGCAGTCCTCAATTTTGGGAAACCAAATACTCGCCGTTTCCTGTTTGCGTAATATGAACTCGCTTGGTATATATTAGAGGATTCGGACCCGCTTAAGTCTGGAGTCGTAAACAGTTTCTCCAGAAACACAGACGAATCTCCATATAATATGCAAGACTATATTTTCGGTATATTTTTCTCTTCTTGAGACACGTGTAAATATGTATATATAATTTTGTGTTGACTTAAAACGATAAAAGTCTCTCCGAGAACAAAATTTGTTTGATATTCCTTTTCCGTTCAGCCATACCCGTTAGTGATGTAGGGTGTTATATCACGGATATAATAATGTTCATAATGGAGGTGGGGTAAATGAAATGGGAGAATAAACCTTTTTCTATAGCTTCCCCATTTAAGGGAAAAGGAAATAACTTTATGCAAGATGAAATCGATTAAGATACTGTGAACATGTTCCTTTTACCGACCAAGTGAGGACTCAAAACCTCCCGATATGCTCTATATATACAAGAAGTAAATCGGACTAAAATTTGAATACTGCTACCATATCTAGATTGGAGCTGATTATTGGTAGATTAGAGTAATTTCATTGTTACCTAGAGAATGTACTTGTTGCAATCGCTACTTAGTAAAGAGCGGATATTTTATATTAAAACTCGATATGAAAAAGTTTGAAAATTCTACAAATATTACGGATTCCTAATGACAGGTAATTGTGGAGAGCCTGAAGGTACATGGCATATAGAAGTGTAATTGGTTCACCTAAAATCAGTTTTGCTAACTTTAGCGCTAATAACTTCGGGAAGAGTTATTTATCCATCTCTTACCGAATCTCATTAGGTAAAAGTTAATAGCAACGTAGAGTAGTCGGTCTAGAGTAGAACTGGTCGAAAAATCAAAAACATGGCGAAGTCAACCAGTAAACAACCTACTATTAAACCAAGAAGTGATGGCAGTTCAGTAATCGGAAGAAACAATGTGCTTTTTTTCTATCAAACCGATCTTGACATCTATTCGAAAAAATAAAAATTCTTCCACCCCACCGTAATAATTCTGTTATTTTTCTATTTAAATGTAGTTTTGTACCTACATCGGAAGAAATAATCAAAGATATTAGGATTAGACAACACGTTCGGACGAAAATTCGTAATTATAATTATTTACCTTCGAAATTTCTGAGTAATAGATGCCGGTCCTCAATTGCAGAACAACTGATAAATAATCGTAATTGGGCTTCTAATTTTAGTGTTGACAGGTTTTCCATCCCTAGCAATTCGTACTATCGTTACCCTTTAAATGTGTTGGGGGAATATAGTAAATTTAAGAGAGCTTCCCTGTGTAAACAGAAGGAATTTTTATTTAGCGTTTATGTAATTTCAATTTAATAATCCCTTTTTATTTCACTTCATAGATTGCTTATTTTTGTAAAACTTGCCTCCATTTCACTTCATAGATTGCTTATTTTTGTAAAACTTGCCTCCATTTCACTTCATAGATTGCTTATTTTTATAAATTTACCTCGATTTAGCTTTGCTGAGCGAGGTAGAAAATCGGTTAACCAGCCTTTTCCTTTTTTAATTTCAGTCTATCATTATGAGTATCAATGAAAATATGTTCTTTTTATTGCCATTATAAAATTTTAAAAACAAAATGTCTAACAATAATAACCTATGTCCTGATATGGCATAGATAATTAAAAAAATATGGTTTGTCGATTTCATTAAGTATTTAAAGATGTTTGATAAAACCTAAAGAATCTGCAGTGTTATTGGATCTAACCTGGCATCTTAGTCATTTTTCTACCACCATAATGGATGACAATCTTTCAAGTGACCAACGTGATGTGGGCGGGTTTAGATACGAAGCTTATTTGACCGACCCCCACTCAGTGAAACATTTGTGGTTTATTTTGTCAAGGAAGGACAGTCTCCTCAGTGTCTGATTAAAAAAAAAAAAAAAAAACATGCCGAAGTTTTATCCCATACTTTCCATTTATACTGCTTATCTAAAAAGTGTTTTTTTTTTTTAATCATTTTCGCCACAACCAAGTCACTAAGACTCAAGGGGTTACTGAATATGAAATAATAAATAACAGGAATTAAAACAGAAGATTATGATTGACATTACAATTATTTTTTGAAGAAGTGAACTGGAAAATAAGACGAAAGAGCCTTCCACTGGTAAGAATTACCAGAGAAGAAAGTGTTAGCATAGAACTTACGGTTCCATTTAATCTGTAGAATGATAAGAGCTTGCCCCCAATCTGTAATGCCGTAGATGTAATATTATGAGAGAGAAGAAACTGTTCAATTAGAACTTCCGGTTACATCTAGACATTTCAACTGTAAAATAAGACCTTGCCACTAATGTAGTACTGCACTTGAATTCATAAAGTTTACGTGCTATAGAGTAAATCTTATCAGAAAAAACAAAAACAAACAAACAAAACAAATATGGATAGAAGAAAGGTACAGAGAAACTATTTTACGGTGGTGAGGAAAATGACTGAAGTCGAGATACCAGGTCAGGACTAATAACATTGCAGATCATCTTAGGCCCTTAGATTACCGGTATACATCTGTCTATAAAACTTACCTTGATGATAATCCTTCAAGTGAACAACATCTTTTCCCTTGTGATGTAGATGGAGGAGCTGCGGATCATTCGTCGGCTTCTGAGTAATGGTCAGAAAAGGATTTGGGACCCAGCAGAGTCACTTGTTATCCCCATTTGATGAGAATCATTAAAACGTAAGTGTAGATATGATGCTTATTTCGATGACTCCCCGCATCAGTGAATCATTTGTGGCCTATTTTGATAGGGACTGTCCTCAATATAAGATTTAACAAAATCTTGCCTAAATTTTATCGTAACTTAGTTTCCATGTGTCTTTTATACATTTCATGGTAATTGTTCTGGTGAGCTATAATCTTTGGTATCCAGACTTTACGACCTTAAGCGCAGTTGGAGATTGGCAGCTAAGTTTGGTTTAGTTTGTTGTACAGCATACCAACCTCAATGGGTTATTTAATGTCGATAAGATGTTTATTTCTTGTATTTTTTTTTCCCAACAATGCCTTGCCCGTAATATTTTTTTCAGAAATGTACTGCTGGTATCAAAACCTATTTTTATACTTTCATAGCGTTTTTACTTCTTGTAGGGTGTAACTATTTGCCCATAGCTGGGACCATGACAGGTCCTATCAAACCAGGTCAGTGGTAAC